TTCTAAATTCAATAGAAAAAAAAAAGGTAGACCAGCTGTAATTGAAGATCAGCCAGATCTTCTTAATGCCATCGTTAACATCGCATCAATAGAAGCCGCTGCTAGCGATCGACGAAGGAGTTACGTTCATGCAAGACACTTGATGACTTAAATAAATGCCTACTAAAACTGGGTTATTGTTTATCGCGATCTGCAACTTATTTAAGACTGATGTCTAAGCGATCAAACACACTTGAGGGAAAACGTCACATTAAGACAGTTCCTGTGAAATTGATCAAGACTGCTAATACAGCTCGTGATAGGCATATCGATGCTGGATTTACATTTGCGTGCATGCAATACATGGATGAGGTTTGTTCAATATTTGGTCCAGATTCATGCTTTTATTCAAGTCTAGACGACAAAGCTAAAGTACCATTAGGATTAGCAGCTCCAAAAAAACAATCACCAATTTTGATGCATCTTGATTATCAAGTACGTTTGCCAGATCATGATTTTTTAGTCGCTTCCAGACATAAGCTTAAACCGTCTGTTTATGCAGCTTGTATTATTGATCCAAACAAATTTCCAGACGCAGTGTCATATTATGGCCCAACGTATATTGCTATTAGATCTATGAAGCATGATAGCAGCACTGCTTTTACTCATGGCCGTGATTTGTAGCGTCTTGTTTCAATTGAAAATTTTCAGCTTCATATTTGTACTCCAGAAGATCAGGTAAAACCTATATTTATTGTTGCATGTGATATAGGCCCTGATGAAAATCCAAGGTTTCCCAAACCATTGCAAGTTGCAATTGCAAGGTTTATAAAATGGGATTTGGATGTCTATCTAACAGGAACTCATGCACCTCATTATTCAGCATATAACAGGGTTGAACGGCGTATGGCTCCGCTGAGTCGAGAGTTAGCAGAATTGGTTATGCGACATGACCATTTTGGGACACATCTATATGCATCTAAAAAAACAATTGACGTTGATTTAGAAAAAAAAAATTTTGCTAAAGCTGCAGAAACTCTAGATGAGGTATGGTCGGATATAGTAATTGATAACTATTCTGTTTGTGCTGAATATGTTGAACCTTCCCAACTGTCACCAATACCAGAGCAAGATTCAAAATGGATTGAAAATCACGTAAGACAAAGTCAATATTTTTTAATGATCGTTAAGTGTGATGTTCCGAATTGCTGTAAACCTTGGCGAAGTTGTTGGAAAAAATATTTTCCTTAACGTTTTTTACCAGGTCCAGTTGTAATGTCTCATGCTGCTGAAGGAATTTTTATTCCTGAGCCAAAGGTAGCACGAAATATTCGCAAACCTTACTTTTCTTCTCTAGCGCAGCGCTTGGGATATATAGGTTCAAAAATTTCGATGGAAGCTTCCTTTGATTTGTACTGCCCATCAATTTCACAACAAAAAATTGATTAAAGAACTTGCAAATCCTGCAAAATTTATCACGCTTCTAAAGCAAGTGTTAAACGTCACAAATGCGTGTTTAGAAACATAATCAACACGACCTTTGAGGAAAATAAAAATGACGATGAAAACAATGATGCTCATTTAACAGTAAATGAAAGTAATTCTGATCAAATTCATGTCATCGAAAACATATTTGATTGGGTAAAATCACCCTTTGATTTAGATCACCAACAATTTAAATTAATTGATTAATGAAGACTATATTAATAATTTTGTTTATAAAATATTAAAACGATGTTTTGAAACCTATAAAGATAACAGTTTTTGTTTTAAATTGTGATTACTTAAAAAATTTGTATCACTCTGCCCTTAACCACAACCTAATCTTTAAAGGTACCAAACAAACATTCTCGCCAGTTTGTTGATTTTAAGGTTTCCTGTTTGCCCGCAAAAGCGCTTAAAGATCAACTACACAAATCTTTCAACAAGACTTATTTGTTTTATTTTTTGTTAATGATCTTTTAAACGATTGAAAAGTAATACACTTCACTGTCACCTTGATGTTCAGAGTTAAAAATTTTCAAACACTAAATTGATTGCTTGCGTTTTTTTTAGCTGAAATGCTTTTCAAAAATTTATAATTTCCAGTTTTCTCAAGCTTCTTAGTTTATTATATTTATTAAAAAAATTACCCTATATAAGATGATGCAATTTTGTTACGTGACATTTTTTATAATCAAGAAATAACTATGTTCTCATACACAAAGAATTTTTGTATTTATATAAGATTGAGCACAAAAGTGTTTTCCTCGCGGTAGTTATTCTCCTACTTTAATTGCGATACAACAACATAGGTGGAGGGTATGTAAAAAACTGTGACATTAAAATTTTGAAAATAAGTTTTCAGGCTGGAGATAAAACAATTGTTTTGACCATCGCAAGCAAATCATTAAAACTTTCTCTATTCCTAAATAACTAATAAACGTAACCAAGTATGTGAGTTGTTATATTCATAAAACACATCAAACGATAACTATGAGGTGCCAAATAAACGTGCCTGCCCGTTTATTTAGGTTAAATGTTGTGGATTATTATACTAAAAACCCACAACATTTTTAGCCCATTAAAACTTATTACGTTTTTATTGTTAAAATTAAACTTCTTTTACTAATTTTAAGGTTCCTTTAGTAAAAAGAACTTTAAAGTTTCCAAAAAAAAATTTAATTAGATCTTTTTTAAGGGCAAGTATACTTCCCTCCCTCCCCAACTAACATTTCAAAGTCACGGTCATGGTTTTTTTATTTAAAAAATTATTTATTTATTATTATATTCAAAAATATCTACACCTTTTCAAGATGTAAATGAGAACATGAAAGTTGTAATTAAGAAGTCGTAATATGTAATTAAGAAACACAACATGTAATTGAGAAAACGTTATATGTAATTGAGAAACACAACATGTAAATAAGAAATCGTAACATGTAATTAAGAAACACAACATGTAATTGAGAAAACGTAGGAAATAATTGAGAAATCATAATATGTAATTGAGAAATCGTAACTTGTAATTGAGAACAATTAAATTAAAATGGCAAATTCACAGTCTAAGTTTGTAGGTTGTTACAAAAGGTCTTTTTGGACATGAATTTAAGTTATAATCTTAAATTTTGCTTTTGTATGCACAAGTAATAATAATGGAATTTGGAATTGAAAGATCGTTGTGTTATATGCCAATACACTATGACCCGAAAGTCTGTGATTAAGCTAAATCCGTGTCAACATTTATGTCACCAAATTTGTTTACGTCCAGTTCTGGACGTAACGTTATGGACGTTCGTTGATGTTAGAAACATCAACGAACATATCACAAATGGTCGTCAGATAGTTTGGTTGGATGAAACAAATTTTAACCTTTTTTGTAGAAAAACGCAAGGACGCGCGAGACAAAGAAAAAGAACAACTATGAAAGTACCTGCTTCAAAAGGTTTAAACATACACTTGATTGCAGCTATTTCAACTACAAATGTCGTCATGATAGAAACTCGCAGGGGATCATTTAAAGCAGATTCCTGTAACGAGTGGATGTTGGCTATGTTTCACCAGTGGGTTACATCCGGGAATCGTTTGGAGGATTTGGTCGTCGTAACAGATAATGCTCCTTGTCACGCTCGTTTGCAAAGGGTGTTTGATAATTCACCAGCTCAGTTGTTACGTTTGGGACCTTACAGTCCAATGTTGAACCCGGTGGAAACGATCTGGTCCAAAATTAAAAGTAACGTTAAAAATGCAATTCGCATTCCACCTGTATTAGGTGACGGGATTGCGGAACAGCGCATGCAGTACTTAGAACGAATTGTAATTGAGGCGAAAATACTATAATGGGAGGAGATTGTGCACGTGCGGTACAACACACAACCACGCACTATGCAACTATTTTAAATATGGAAGACGTACAAGTTGGTGCTTAAATGATCAATGAAGTGATTTTTAATTATATAATTTTTAATTATAATTTTTAATTGAATTATAAATTTTTCCCTAAAATGTTTTTAGTGTTTATTATGTTAAATTCATTTGCCCAAAAATTACAAATTTTTCCCTAAATTTTTCCCTAAAAAATTAAATTTACGCTACAAATCTTGCGTCATTTTTAAGTGCGTCATTTTATACGCTCCATTTTTTTACGCGCCATTTTTTTTAAGCGCCATTTTACACTTACTGCTTTAAAGCGATATCTAAATTAAAATTTTTGTGTTCTCAATTACATCTTTCTATTTCTTAATTACAACTTACATTTTCTCAATTACATGTTACGATTCTTAATTACAATTTTCGTTTTCTAAATTACATCTTATGTTTCTTAATTACAACTTACGTTTTCTCAATTACATCTTACGTTTCTTAATTACAACTTTTGTTTTCTCAATTACATCTTACGATTCTTAATTACAATTTTTGTTTTCTCAATTACATCTTGAAAAGGTGTAGTTATTTATTAAAAACATCTAGTTATAGTTAAGTATTTGTTAGTGCTGATAAGTTAGAAATACAAGCATTAACTGAGAAAAATTACTTTTTTTAATTAGTGCGTACGTACTTTTATATTCAACCCCTCCCTCCCCCCCCCATACGCTTTTGTAGGCTTTTTGAAGACCCCCCCTCCCCCCTATGAGCGTGCGTACTTTATGGACGACCCCTAACTATATTTATAAAGAAAAAATAATCATGTAGGGGATTGTCAATAAATACGCAACGCATAATACATTTTAAAAACATAAGAGATACTGAGCTCTTTTGCGCGGCGGTTTTTATTAAACTTAATAAACTATTTTGTTTTTTTATTTAGATAAAGACTCTGCGAGGTAAAACTTTTGTTTTGTTTATGGTGAAATTTTGTTTTACGTAATTTATGGACGATCCCTAAAACGTGATTAGTAACAATAATAATTGAACAATATTATTCACGTGTAGATAATGTTCACGCATAGATAATATTCACGTGAAGATATAAGATAGATAATATTCACGTGTAGATGGCAAATAAATTTAGGTGTCATATTTCGTACCATGAGTTTCTCACCTTTAACGGTGAAAATGTTCATGAAAAATCAAACACTTTGTATTTTCGACCAATAAAATCATCTGATTAAACAATGCTTTCCTTTCATATATTAAATACGTGTCAAAGGTGCTGCCATCTTCGGTGATGAATTCAAACTGAAGTTTTAGTTGCATGTATTGGCCATTAAAAACTCATAATAAGTTTTTTTACCGTTACCTAACACATTTGTTGTTGCAATAAAAATAAAAGTTTGTTTCTGGTACCAAAAAGTAACTTTTTTATGACATATTCTTTTTTTTTTCTACAACTGTAGGTATAAACTTTATTTTAAAACTGATTATCAAAATTTGTAAAGCACGTTTTAAGTTGCATTTATGCATGTTTAAAACTGCTTAATTCTTAAACTTTAAATAAATGGTTGCGATTTTGTAAACTTAGCTTTGGTAGCGGTGCACCTTGTAGCTAATGATGTGTATCTTGGTGGTACCACCATGGTGCACACTTGCATGATTTTGTAAATACTTTTATGAGTAATATTTTTTATGTAAGTATTTTTTTAAATGTAATATGTTGTTATAATTTATTATGATTTTTTTTGTTTATTATAAATTTCTTTAGTAAAATATGATGTGTATTTCTTTGTAATTATTTTTCTTAAATTGTTGTCTTCTCTTTGATAATTTTCTCAAATTATCAACGAGAAGATAAAACTGTGTATGAGTTGGACAAATCAGGCATGGTCAGTTGCCACATCCTTCTATTACAGGAGGTTCAGCATGACAGCTATTAGAACTATCATTTGGCATTAACTTTGATTACCTGAATGAAGACAAAGTAATGTCGTAGATTTAGCATTTGTCGTAGACAAATGCTAAATCAAAGGGTAATACTTAATATTACTAAACTTTAAGATATTTGTTATTACTCTTTTCTTAATAACCTTTATTTGTTTTGTAAGTTTTAATACTTTTAAGTATAAATTAATTTAGATTTATAATCATATATAAATTTAAGATAAATTAATATTTAATTTATATCTCAAATCAGGCTGATGTGAGGTCAAATAAACCCAACCCAAAAAAACCCAACCCAAAAAAACCCAACCCAAAAAAACCTGGCGCTACTGTAGTTTTCCCCCCCCCCCCCCTCTATTTTTTATTGTTGATTATGATAGAGAATTTTATGCTGATTAAGAATCGTATAAAAACATAGGTCTGAAAATTAACAGAAAGTGCTCTAATTCGATCTTGAAGTTTAAAAAATTACGCTAAAAAACCCTAATATTCGCTATTTTATTCTCGGTTATATTAAAATTCTTTTCAAAGATGATTTTTAAAAAGCCTGGTTTCTATCAACAATTTAATGTAAAACTGTTAAAAAATGATCGGCGCATCATTTTCTGATTTATAAGGGATAAATCAGAAAATGATGCCCAAACCCAAACCCTGTCCCAAATCATGTACGTTTAATCGCGCCAATCCCTATTTGTCAGTCGATGTATGTGCATTTAGTTGTGCCAATCCCTATTTGTAAGTCGATGTATGTACATTCAATTGCCCAATCCCTATTTTTCAGTCGATGAGTGTACATTTAATTGCGCCAATCCCTATTTTTCAGTCGATTTATGTACATTTAAAAAGCAATATTTGAATTTATTTAAAAAAAATAATTAAAGTTATAAAATACATTCATAAAAACATTTAATTCAATTTATAAATTATGTCAATAAAAACCGGGTCGCGTAAATAAAAAAAGATTTTCTTAACGATCGATTTTAAAATATAAACTTTGATGTGTAAAACGTATTTAAAAAATGGCGCATATTAACGATTTTTAGTGTAATTTTACAAACTTCAACATCAAATTAGAGCATTTTCTGTTGATTTTCAGACCTATGTTTTTATACGATTCTTAATCAGCATAAAGTTCTCTATCATAATCAGCAATAAAAAAGAGGGGGGGGGGTGCAACTTTTATACTGTAAATAGTCTTGTAAACACTGTATTTATATACAAAATGGTATTTAGAATATAATTTTTAGTTCAAACTCTTTACAGAATAATCCAAAAATTAAATATTAAAAAATATTGAAATATCTATTAAAATATTAAATTAGTTAAATATTTATAAAGGAAATAAAAATCATTCAATTAACTAAATTTTTAAGTTCACGACATTACTTGTTATTTAGTATCTTTACTCTCCTCTCAAATGCTTTTATTTCCAAACAAGTGTCATTTTATATTTCAAACAAGTGTCATTTTATATTGGTATTTGATCTTTATTTTTTAAAGCTTATGTTGTAAACTTCAAATTTTAGTACAAAACCACAAGCAGAACACTATAAAAATGTTAAACCTTATTCACAGTCTAGAAATGGAAAATTGTCAGGCAAAAAAAATATGCTACAGTTTACTAGATAAATTCATTTTAGATATTCTTAAGAGCAATCTGATCTTATATCCATAAACTAAAAACACGATGTGTCAATGTCACCCCAAATTGGCTAATCATTACTCTCACACCATTTTAAAAATAAAATATGATCATATAAAATAAGAAAATTAAGATAACTAATGCTTGTTGCTTTTTATAATAAACAATAAAAACTTTTTCAGGAAGTTGGACAGTATAATGTTCTGTTAAAAAAAAAGTAGCGATTAGGCTAAGAGTTTTCTTCTATGATGCAAAAATATTTAAAAAGTGGTCATAGTCATCCTGATTGACAAGATTGCAACATCATGTTACAAGCTTGTTGTTTACATGTTGTAAACTTGAGCAAACTAGTTTTTGAATTGACATGTTGAACATGTCAGTATAAAAAACTAGTTTGCAACATTTATATTGCCTTACCAACTTTAAATAACTCAATTGACCATGATTGTATTAGTAGAATAAAGAAAGAAATGTAGCCTTACAACAATGGGAGAGTGGTTCAAGTTTGGCAGATAAAGCAGGTCTAAATACATTGACAATGTGCTTTTAAACATTGTCTGAGAGAAAGAGGGTTGTTGTTCGTCAATATAGGAATGCCAACAATATTGCAATATTTTTTGCAGTAAATGAATTTTTTTGTCTAACAAAAATTGTGGATTTTAAGTCCAGAATTAAAATCCATAAGCCACTGTAAGCCTTAGGCTATTACAGAAGAGAGATCAAATTTAAAATTGGCTGCTTGTTCTAAGCAACTAAAAAGTGAAATTTTTTGTCAAGACAAGAATATAGATTTGAGTCGTCAGCAAATAAAGCCACTTAAGATTTCATGAAGATTGTTATTGTAGATAAGAAATAATTCAGGAGCAAAGATTAACTTTCAAGTAACTTTAAGGGTACCTTGTGCTTGATGATGATGATGATCATCATCATCATCATCATGATAATGATGATGATAATCATGATTATCATCAGGATTTAGCCTTCCTCTTTTATGCTGTTGATAATGATGATCATGATGATAATGATGATGATCATGATGGTGGGGATAATAATGACGATTATGATGATCATGTTGATCATAATGATGTTTATATACGCATATATATAAAAAGTGTAACATGAATTTTGAATTAAAAAAATATACTTTTAGGATGGTCACAAACCTGGCCCTAGCCCCGGCTATATTTTATCAAACCCAGCCCTGGCCTTGGTCAAATATCAAACTCGGTCACTTACTAATTGTTACAAAATATATTGTAAGTATTCTTTTTTTTATATTTGTATAAGTTTGAAAATACCTCAGAGGTAAACCACTCTCCCCCACATACATAATTGTTTGTGAAGAATAAAAAAGGAGTATCTTTTACTTTGTGTGAGTTACTATGTAACTTTTAGATTTGATATAGTTTTTATTGTTAAGTAGTTTTTTCAAACAATTTTTACAACATTCATCAATACTTTATATTATTTTATAACATTCATCAATACTTTATATTATTTTTTAGCACAGCCACTTTTCTTAACTAAATGGAACCAAGTCAAAAAGATTGCGATAAATTTAGTTCTTTTATGGGTAATTTTTTATATAAACATCATTTTTTTAATTCTATGTTTTAATGATGTTTTTATTTATCAGTAGTTTTATTATACGATTCAGTTGATCAATACTGTATACTTTTTTTTAACCATAGGGATGTTAGGGAGATTTCAAATTTATTAATTAGAAATCATTAGTAACTTTGATTATTTAATAATTTTTTATTTTTTATATTATTAAATTAATAAAGTGACTATAAAAGTATTAAAATGTAATATTATTTAAATATATACAAATAATTAACATAAAAACTGTAAATGTATGATTATCACAATAAGTATCATATTATAAAAAGTTAACATTAATATTTATAAAAATATGTTTACATCTCAACAAACTTTGGGCATAGAAAATGGAAAAAATAAAGCCTTTGATTTCGTTTTTATAATTGAAGTTTATGCTTTTAAATATAATGCAAAAAAGTTTTATAAAGATTGAAGCCTTATTTGAACTTCTGATGAAATGACCAGCAGAAGTTTCTTCGGTATATTCATGTAGATCAGACACTAATAAAATGTTACAGAACATGCAAAAAGAAAACAATAATATGTCTTCAAAAGGAACCTTCATGTGGACATAAAGGTTTACAAAAGGATTGTGGTAATAATTGCATTATATTTTCTCTGAGCCTCTTTCTGTTTATTTTACTATTTAAAATGTGAAGTTTCAGTTTTTTAATTACAGTTTTTTTTTGTTATAAAAACTTCTGTACAATTTTATTTTATGAGCTTTAAAAAAATATATAGGGGTAATTAGTGCAAGATACTTGGTGCTGGGGCAAAATGTTTTTTTTGCAAATAGACCTTGCTCTGAGTATGGAAATAACTAAATAGTGATTGATTTTGAATTATCTCATGTTGTGCCATCAAAAATTTTAAATTCTAGCAAAATTTGTCTTCACTAAGTAAATATGACTTTAAATGAATTTCGATGTAATTTAACTGTGTCATATTACATGATGCAGAATTTTATTATTTCAAGTGATATGCTTAAGCTTGTATAGCATTATACATGCTCCGAGAACCAAAAAAAAATGGAGACGGCAAGCTTCGACTAAAACGTGAATTTTAAATTTAATGGTGTGCATTCATTATATAGTTTTAATCAAAAAAATTTAGCCCAAATGTTTTTTTAAGCATTTTCTTTAATATAAACACAACTTGTCTTGGCAGTTGGGGATCCCTTTAAGTTCTATTTTTGCTATTTCTTTTAATCTACATAAATTAGTATTGATTCAATAAAAAGATTATGTTTTGTTCAAATTAAAAAAGTTTTTTTATGATTATTAACATGTCATTGCTATTTTGTGTAACTATACCTATATTGGCTAAACAACTGACATAGTTCTAAAAATAAAAAAGTTTGTAAATTAAAAGCTAGTGGAGTTTACTGCAAAATGTAATAAGACAATAAGCCCTTCAAATGAATTTTACTATTTATTAATTGAGCTTTATATATGAAAGACTTAACTTTATGGTTTTTCTATAAGTAAAATTTATGAGTTAACGTTATAAACTATTAATAGGCTTTAAATAGGTTTATTTTTTATCTTGGTTTTATATAATACCCCTCTAAAAGAAGAATATTCAATTTTTTCTGAAAGCATTTCTAAGAGTGTTAACAAGAGATGTTATCTAAAAGCAACAAATTATTATTATAATCTAAATTTTACTTCAAGTATAGCATAAACTATTGTTGCCATGACAAATAGATGAAAAAAATTTACTCAAAATAGCAATGACGTGATAATAATCGTAATAAATTTAATGGTGTTACCAGAAAATGAAGTTATTCTTACCTTGATGGTGTTGAATTTAATTTTAATAATCTAAACTGTTGTTTAATGATCAATAAAGTAAATTTCATTTCATGAAAATTTATTAAATTAAAGCCATATTTCAACAGTAGTCAAATTAAATATAAATAATGAATACTGCAGAACCCTAAATACTTAACTAAATAAATAAAAAAATGTCCAAAAAAGGTCCAACTAAATAAATAAAGATAATAATTTAATAACAAAAAAACTGTTTTTAAATTAGCATAAATTATACAATATTTTTAATTAAAATAAATAATTAGAATTAATACTAGTTTATGTTAAATAAAATGGAAAAATAGAACTCAAAAATAAAAATACATGCCCAGCTAGCACACATACATTGATAAAACGTTAAAATATTGTTGCGAATTGCATTGGCCCAACATCGAAAACGTTGGTTCAATGTTGTATTCTAAGTCGGAATTGCGTAATGTTTTACGTTGATTCAACGTTGTATTTTACGTTAGCACAACGTTGTATTTTACATTGGCAAAACGTATTTTAAGTTGATTCAAAGTTATATTTTACGTTTGCATGACTTTATATTTACCTTTTATCGGAATTCAATTAATTTGTTGTATGTTAGGCATATACATATAATCATAAAATATTATAGTTTTTGCGCATATATAGTTGTATATATACATATTTCTGCCATTTTCATAATTAATATCATTGCTTATCACATGTTTATACTTTTATATTTCATCTGATTAAAAAGGCATTATTCATGTTTGTTTTGCTTGTGGCTTGATATGTTTTATAACATAAAAAAGAGGAAAATATATTAGCAAAATATATTTCCATATTCAACTGAAATATTTAAAAGAAAAATAGTTCTTATAAATTATACAAATGTATATTTGTATATCTGCCTTTACTCAATGCAAACTCAACGTTGATCCTCTATAAAATCCAAGATTGTTCCAATGTATGTTTATACATTAAATCAAGGTTGGTTTATACACATTGATGCAACGTTGATGCAACGTTGATGCAACGTTGGATTTAGATCATAAAAAAATCAAACTTTTTGTTTTACAAAAAATCAAACTGTGATGTTTTACATACATTGGATCAATGTTGATTTATATATATTGAATCAACGTTGGGTTATATACATTGGATCAACGTTGGGTTAAGATGGTAAAAACAATCAACTTTTTGCGATGTTTTTACATGCATTAATTCAGCGTTGGTTTATACAAATTAAATCAACCCCATAGAAACACGTTGCGTTTACATCATAAAAACAATTTTGTGATGTTTTTAAATACGTTGGGCCAATGTAAATGTGCCAGCTGTTTTTAGTTCCGTCTGTTTTTATTTCATCATTAAACTAATGACATTGAATCAACGTTGGTTTTGCATTAGAAAAAACAGTTGGCATTTGCGATGGTTTTACATATGGAAACCCAACGTAAGTGGTAATAAAAAATGCATAAATTTAAAAAAATAAAAACAAAAATTAATATAACATTCATATATCTTTAAACTAGGCTAAAATAATTATAATATGTTGGACTAATGGCTATACTAACTAAAGTAAGACAAACACTTTTTTCTATGTTCTTTAAATCAAGAAAAAGTTCTACAACTTTAATATCAAAAGCTCTAAAAATTTTAATTACAGTATAATATAATAATAATTTATATCATTTTTATGACTATCATTCAATACTTGTATCATACATCTCACAATGTATAATTTATATCATTTTTATGACTATCATTCAATACTTGTATCATACATCTCATGTTTCAATCACTATCACTTAATATTATTATCACGCCATCTTATGTGTGATTTACTAGGGGAGGTAATAATTCAGAAACTTATTAAAGTATTGAAAATAACTGTAAATTATTTGTTATATGTTATGTATAACTAATAGTTTTCAGTTGTATATTTTTTATCACATCACTTAATACCATTATCACAACGTCTTTTATTTAATGATTTAATAGGAGGAAGATTATAATTTAGATATTTTTAAACTATTTTTACATAACGTTATAACTAATTTAATGAGTTAGTTAAAATATAAATTATACAACTATCAACAAATTATTGATTAGTTTATAGTGGTAAATTTTTTATCATTATCATTCAACTTGTTGAATTTTTATCATTATCACTCAACTTGTTTCTCCGCGCAGCGGCCTTGTTCGTCAAGGTTCGTGTTTCGGAGTTATAGAGTTGAGAGAGGGTTATAACCACAAATAAGTAGCCTCCTCGTCTGTAGTGGCCTTCTCGGCCTTGAGGAGACGAATTAAAAAAAAAAAAAAAAAAAAAAAAAAAAAAAAATTTAATACCTTTGATTGTACCATCTTATACTGAGCGATTTACAAAGGGGAGATAATAGTTCAGACATAATAATTTAAATTTGTCTGAATAATTCAATGAATTATACTTATACAAATACTTTTATATTATAAAAGTATTTGTACAATATTTTCATGTAAATAACTAGTTAGTTTATAGTTTTTTATTTTTTATCACTTTAGCTATTTCTTAATCACCTTTTTTTATATTACTTTTATGTAAACTATATTTCTAGAATTCTTATCCTCTAGGCATTTTTTCTTATTGTTCATGTTTATTAAGGTAGTACGGGTGTTTAGGTACACCTCTAACAGCTATAACCCAAAAGCTTTATTTCGATTTGTGTTTTACGCAGTGGGATAGAATTAATCATACAGTTTTTAGCTTCAATTAGGCCTTGCTGTTTACACATTCTTTATGTAGCCTTAATTTTTTATATTACCTTTCTATTCCTGTATGTTTTTTATCCCTAATCATTTAGCGCTTTGTAAGTTTAGATGCCTGTTGCTTTTTAACACTTGGATTTGTGCGCTTAGTTCTACCCACCCCTTCCTTACGGTCTACTGCTATTGGTGAGCAATTATTAATAATAATTATTATTAGTTTTTATGCAATTATTAATAACAATTGTTAATAATTGTTTATGTATATTTAACCAATAACACGGTAGACCAAAAGCGATGGGGAAAGAAAAACAAAGAAAAGTTTGTAAGAGGTGGGATTCAAACCACAGACTTTCCATGCATGGCGTAAATACCTTATCCAAATAAGCTAAACGAGCATATACTTTAGCTAGAAATAAATATAACTATATAATGAAAAAAGTTA